ATAACGTGTATGTATATATGTATATATATATTTTTAATAATTATTAAAATATTTATATTCATATAAATTTATTGAATTTGTATGTGTGCATTTTAATATATATATATGTTCCCACGGGATTTATAGAAATCTTTTATATTCATGAGAATGAAAATCTTAAATTAGTTCAAATAGTTTACCGTTAGATAACACTAAAAATCATATAGATGGCATTGTAAATCTTATCAGTTATTAAAATTTGATAAATATTTGTGAGACATTAAATGATATTGGATCATGTAAATTGAATGAATTAATTATTGTTATAAATTATCATTAATATAATTCTTTATAAAATGACAATATTAATATTAAAATCTAATGATAATATAATTATGTGTTGTAGATTTGATAAAACGTATAAATATAAAAATGTACCATAGTAAACGTAAATTTCATCTTTTGTTTGGAATTTCTGCAAGCGTAACAGTATATTGTATTAATCTTATGCCACATACAATATTCCTTAATAAATTGGAGGAAACTGTTGCCTTTTATCGGTACGTACATAAGATGTTTATTTTGAGGTTATAACCTATAAAAATAGCGATTTAATTAATTGGTCTAGAAAAATAAATGTAACATTAATTTATAGTCATGGCATAAGGGTACGTATAAATAATGAAATGAAAGAACTATGTAAAGAGGTAATGAATGACTTACAATTACCGGAAAGTACGCAATCACTTATAAAACCATTTCACGTATTTGGTTTCCAACCCTTTCATGCTGGAACATTAAATAAAACTTTTGGAGGAATTATTGGTATTCCCATTAATTTCTTATATAAAGAGCCCGCTGATGCAGCAGTTGAAAAATTAATTATAAATAATAAAGAATTTAATAAAATGAGAAGGGAAGCTGACAATTTATATGATAGTCTTATAATTTCAAAAGACGCGAAAAAATATGTGATAGCCCGTGAAATATCAAAGATAATAGATAACGGGGTATATGTATCGGGAGGTGGTTTATCTTGTATCATCTTTATAATGACATCAATTTATAGTAATTTAGTTCATAAATTTAATATATATGAGAAGAAAGCATCGTACCGTCGTACGTTGTATGTATTTTTTATATTAATTGGCTTCGTTTTATGGTTAGTGTTTAAAGATGTTGCTCATAATCGTATTGAAAATAACATAGATGAAAAAATAGCTAAATTAGGCTTAAATTATATTAACGGAGGAAAGGAATATTACGAAAAAGAACTTCAGAAAAATATTGCATTGAGATCACTTATGGAAGAGGATGGTAAAAAACAATATAATGCCGATGGAAATGAAAAGCACTTTTGGATGCATTTATCAATTTCTCTTTCCGAAAGGAAAAGATTTTTTGAGTCTAAACTTTAAAATAGTCGATGTGTTATATGATATTAAATGAATCATACATCTAGTAATAAATGTTTCATTCATTAAAATTGTTAATTTTTTTATAATTATATTAAATAAAATAATATAATGTTTATATACAATTATTTATCATTTTTTTTTTCATTTCTTAACTTACAATTACGTACTGCGTACTTTATTTAATTCTATATATTCATTATTTATTTCTATATATTCATTATTTAATAATAATTCTGTTCTTTTGTTTTCCAAGATGAAAAATTTTTTTATAAAACCTACTCAAAATTTACATTTAAATTTAATTTAACAAAAGGAATAATAGATAAATTACTTTCTCGTGAGATATTTCCTTTATATATCATATACTTATAATTGTGTGCTATTATTATTATAACTATTAAACGTTTAATGCTATAAAATATGTCAACTGC